TGATTTATTCCTCACAAATATCTTTTTTAAAAAAACACAAACACTGACTTTACCCATGATCCTCATCTGACATACTGCACAGGAATCAGATTGGCTACATCTGTGGGAGGAATTGTTGGAGAAGCTCAAATATCAGCAGTCAAAATCAGACCAGCTACTGATTGTAGAACAGACCATCAACTACTCATGTGCAAGGTCAAGTTGAGGTGGAAGAAACTAAAAAGCAGTCCACAAGAAACAAAAGATGACTTTGAATCTATCCCACCTGAATTTAAAAATCATCCTGCAAAATTTTTTTTAAATGGCCATGGAGTGGGTTCCAACTCATGACCCAGCTATAGCTCAGACCCGTGGAATGGCCACAGTTGTCTGTCTTTCTGCTCATCTCATCTTTCTTTAATGGAGTGTCTGCTGGATTCAATTCACAGGTGGTGTGGGTGGCAGAGGAGTGCTCTGACCACTCTGCCAAGGAGTCCCATTTGTTCAGGTAGAGAGCTGTTGTTAGGTGCGTTAGAGTCCATTATCACTCACACTTACCCTGTGAACAACAGATCAAAATCTTGCTGTATCCTGCATCACCTTCACGACTTCTGCATGCTGTGGCAATCACTGTGTCATTTTGTGTCATTTCATCTCATCGAAAGTGTTCCTCTCTTTAACTGTCTACTTTTCCCAGCTTGGTGTCTTTTCCCAAGGACTGCCTCTTCTGACAACTTGTCCACTTCGGATAGTTTGTCCAAAGCATGTGAGATGAAGTGCCACCTGACTTGTCTCTAAGAAGTACGCACGCTGTGCTTGCTCCAAAACAGATTTGTTTGTTCTTTTGGAAGTCCGTGAAATATTCAACACTCTTCACCAGGACCACAATTCAAAGGCATCAATGCTTCTTTGGTTTTCCTTACTCTTGTCCAATTCTCAATTGCAAATGAAGCAATTAAAATGGCATATCCTGAATCAAGTGTACCTTACTCTTTGTAATGGCATTCTTGCTCTTTAGCACTTTGGAGAGGTCCTTGACAGCAGAATTTCCCAATGCAATGTTCTTTTGATTTCTTGACTGCTTCTGCCATGGTGTTGATTATGAGTCCAAGTAAAATGAAATCATTGACCACTTCCGTCTTTTCTCTGTCTGCCATGATGTTGCCCATTGTTCCATTTGTTAGAATTTTTGTTTTACTGATGTTGAGGTACAATCCATGTTGAAGGTTGAAATTTTTTATCTTCTTTAATAACTAAGTGAAGCAAGCACAGTTCTTTTACATGCATAAATGCAGGTTGTTGATGAGTCTTCCTTCAATCCTGATGTCCCCTCCTTCTTCACACAGTCCAGCTTCTCAAATTATTTACTCAGAATACCAATGGAATAAGTAAAGAGAAGAGATCCAACACCTTTCCTGGCTTTGTCTTCCAATGACGTATAAATGCCTTCTATTTACAGGTTTGTCATGAGCACAGTTATGTGTTCAAGAATTTACATTCTTATTAATGTCATTCATAATTCATTATGATCCACACAGTCAAATGGCATTGTATAGTCAGTAATTTGTTATGATACACACAATGGAATGTCTTTGCATAGTCAATAAAACACAAGTAAATATCTCTGATCTTCTCAGCCTTCAGCAAATATCCATTTGATATTAGCAATGATATCTGTTGTGCTATGGACTCTTCTAAACCTAATTTGAATTTCTGGCAGTTCACACAAGTGCCTTTGCATATTCAATAAAACACAAATGAACATTCTTCTGATATTCACTGCTTTCAGCCAAGATCTATCTGTCATCAACTTTGATATCACTGGTGCAATGGTCTCTTCTAAACCTAGCATAAACTTCTGGCAGTTCTCTGTCAATGTTTTGTTCTAGCTGTTTTTCTACGATCTCCAGTAATATTTTGCTTGCATTATTGATAGTAATATTTTGATGACCCACACTCTGTTGGGTCACCTTTCTTTGGAATGGAAGCAAACATGACTCTCTTTCAGTCAGTTGACCAGGTAGTTGTCTTCCAAATTTACTGGCACAGAGAGGTGAACACATTCAGGGCTGCATCTGTGAGTTGAAAAATGTCAGTTGGTATTCCATCAATTCCTGGGGCCTTATTTTTTGCCAGTACCTTTAATGCAGTTTAAACTCCTTCCCTTCTCACCATTGGCTCTTGATCATCTGGTACTTCCTGAAATATTTCAATGTCAACCATTTCTCTTTTGTACAGAAACTCTGTGCAGTTCCTCTTTCTTCTCTTGATCTTCCTAGATCATTCAAGATCTTACCCACAGTGTCTCTCAATGCTGCAACTCGAGATGGGTTTTTTTTCTTTTAGTGTTTTTAACTTGAGAAATGCTGTGTGAATTCTTCCATTTTTATTCTCCAACTCGAGCTCTTTATACATTCTATTATAAACTTTGCTTTGTCTTCTCGAGCTGCCCTTTGAAGTCTTCTGTTCATATCTTTTACTTTTGTAACTCTTCCATTTGTTTTAGCTTCTTGATGTTCTAGGGTAATTTTCAGAGTCTCTTCTGCCCTCCAATTTGGTCTTTCCTTTGTCCTTTAATGACTTTGGCTCTCTTCATGGGTGATATCTTTGATATTGTGCCACAACTCATAAGGTCATCTATAATTAGGCTTCAAGCCCTCAAACCTATCCTTGAGATTGTTTTTTAATTCAGGTAGGATAGATCCAAAGTTGTACAGTGGTTCTTGAAAATTTGTTTTTATTTTCTTCATCTTCAATTTGAACTTGCACATAAGTTATTAATAGTCTTTTCCACAGCCAACACTTGGCCTAATTTTGACTGCTGATACTGAGCTTCTCCAACAAGTCTTTGTACATATGTATCTATCTGTCTGATTCCTGTATAATCCATCAGGAGATCAATCATTTAATCTCCAGCTTCATTTCTGTCATCAAGCCTGTACTTTCTGACTACATTCCTTCTTAGTGGTTTCTAAGTCTTGCATTCCAGTAATCAATTACTATTAATGCATTTTTACTACATATTTGATCAATTTAAGACTGCAAAAATTGATAAAATTCCTCAATTTCCTCCTCTATTTTCCTTTAGCTGTTGGTATGTGTATTTGAATAACAGTTATATTAACAGGTTTTCCTTGTATTCATAAGGATATTACTTATCACTCACTGCATTATACTTTAAGATAGATCTTGAAATTGTCTTTTTTACTATGAATGCAATACCATCATTCTTTAATTTTTCATTCCCAGCAAAGTGAATCATAAGATTTTCAAAGTCAAAATGGCCAGTGATAGTTCATTTCATCTTGGTAATTACTAGAATGTCAATTTTTATATGTTCCATTTCATTATTTTTACAACTCCCAATTTATTTTTTTTATGGTGAGAAAAATTTATTACATTTAGAATTAGCCCGCTGGACTCAGTTTAGATGATCCCAATTTTG